CGTACTTGTGCAAGTACGTGGACAACTACGCAGGCAAGATTCGCCCGCTGTCGCAGCTTCTGAAGAAGGAAGCTGCGTGGAAATGGACTGCTGAGTGTCAGCAGGCATTCGACGCAGTCAAGCTGGGCTTGGCTGAAGCGCCGATCTTGGCGGTGGCCGACCAAGACCATCCTTTACACGTAGTGTGTGACGCATCCGACTTTGCGATTGGATGTGCGTTAATGCAACTCGACCACGAGGGCCGTGATCGAGTCGTCTATTACCAGTCGCGTCAGATGAAGCCAGCTGAGCGGAACTACCAAGTGCATGACAAGGATCTCCTTGCCATGAAGTATGCACTTGCGAAGTTCCGAGTGTACTTACTCGGCAACACGCCGTTCGTGGTCTATACAGACCACGCGTCGTTGCGGACGGCTGTGAAGTCCCCGCACATCTCGCAACGAATGGCGAGATGGTTATCCTTCTTCGCGGAGTACAACTTCCGGGTCGAGTACAAACCCGGAAGGTTGAATGTCGTCGCGGACGCGTTGTCGCAATGACCGGACTACGCTGTCAAGACAGTCGACATCAACCGGGTTGATATCTCTCGGAAATATACACCATCGTCGTCCTTGTTGGACGAGGTGAAGGCCGCGTATGCGCAAGACGCAGACGCGAAACAGCTGATCGAGTTCCTCTCAGCTCCTTCCGACAAATCACGTCGGAAGTTGGCCCCTCGTCTACGAGCAAGCGCACACTGATATCGTGTGCACGACGGTCTACTGCTTTAAAGTGCTGTAGACGACAATGCGGAACGCATTGTCGTACCGAATGACCCTGACCTGCGCGGCAGGATCATGTACGAGTATCACGATGTCCCCACGGCGGGACACCCAGGACGAGAGAAGACATACTCCCTTCTCACGCGAGACTTCTACTGGAACCACCAGTGCAAGTGGGTGCGCAAGTACGTTCGGACTTGCGATGTTTGTCAGCGAGTGAAGCCTGCGCCTCACTCACAGGCTCCTCTGCAGCTACTGCCAACTCCGTCGGAGTGTTGGGAGTCCATCTCGATGGACTTCGTGTTTGGTCTTCCGCGCGATTCCAGGCGGAAGACTGGTATTGTGGTCTTTGTGGACCGCTTCAGCAAGATGGTGCATCTCGCTGCTGTCGCAGCGGAGGTGACCTCCGTACAGACGGCACGTCTGTTAAGAAGAACCACAAGCAGGCGAAACCTGTTGCGACCAGAGACAACGTGTCTGTGCGGGGCACAGACACCGAGAAGACTCACGCACAGGCTGGGCCTGAAGCGAACACACCCGAAGTGTCAGTGACGGGCACTGACATCCCAAAGAGTCACGCACAGTCAGGGACTGATGAGACTACAAGTGGTGAGTCTGTGCAGGGCACAGACGCGGACAAGATCAACGAACTGGACCC